AAAAGTCCTGTTATTCATGTATAGGTTGTCATCATTGCGTTAAGATGTCCAATTAAAATCGTAATTAATGTTTCCTTTTAGAGGGTTATTCCCTGCCTTAAATTAATCTGCCTTTTGTAAAGTAGATGGTCAGACGATCATTCACACCATATAATAATTTATACTATTGTAATTATATAATTCATTTGTCCTGAGAATAATATAAATATTCTGATTTACTGTACAAACTATATATCACAAAAATATGCACGCATTTCCATTATCCAAAATCCAAACCATTTCCCACTCTCAATTAAAGGATGCAACAATATTAATTATATATACTGTTTATTACAGGCTCCATGAAAAAATGTATATATGTATACATTTTTAAGAACATAACGATACTAACATTTATTTTGTATTATTGGTCTCGTTTGGGAGTGTTTTGGGCAAATTATTTTCCTTGTTTAGAAAACCTGATTTCCTCCCCCCCCCTCTCTCTCTCTCATTTTCACTCTCATTTTCACTTTTATTCTCATTTTCACACTCACGCTCGCTCTCACTCACTCCTCCCTCTCAACTCTCATTCTCTCTCTCATTTTCACTCTCACTCTCATTCTCATTTTCATACTCACTCTCGCTCATCCTCACTCTCTTTCACCTCTCTCTCTCGCTTTTCATTGTTTCTCATTTTCAATTTCACTCTAACTCTCATTCTCATTTTCAAACTCACTCATTCACTCTCACTCACTCCTCCCCCCACCCCCCACCCCTTCTCTCTCTCTCTCTCTCTCTCTCTCTCTCTCTCTCTCTCTCTCTCTCTCTCTCTCTCTCTCTCTCTCTCTCTCTTCCTCTAATAACTGCATCATATATCTCTCCTATTTTTTTTCGTGTTGGATGAAGTAACGACTCATAAACCAGTGGACAATTGACCCAGTACACCTATTAACAGGTGGCAATTGTTACACCTGAACCAGTAAACGATTAGCTGATCCAGTTCATCCAAAAAGTAGTAGCAAATTAACCAGTGCAGGTCTGATATTGGGAATTGAACGAATGAACAACTGAACCCACGGATACTGGCAATTGGATCGAATTCAGCTGATTCAGTCGACAATTGAACCAGTTGGTCCTTAAACGATGGATGGATAAACAAATCGACAAATGAATAAAACAACGAATATTACTGTTAACTGTTAACCCCCCACCGGTTAATTAGACAGAGGTGTAATAATTTACTCTTTTCGCAAAGGTTATTAATATGCACGTTTGTTTGTATGGGTGTACGTGTGTGTGTGTGTGTGTGTGTGTGTATGTGAAATAAAACCTAAAAAAATAGCATTTTTATTGGTTATTCAGAGTAACTCTAATCTTAGTATAATATATAATGACTAAATGAATTTTCAGACTGTCATGGCACAAGAGACAATATTTTATTCTGATGCGCATTATTTACAACTTATTATGCATAATGTGCATCTAAAAGTGTTCGGATAATATAAATTTTAAATGTGTTTAAAAAAAGAAAAATCAAGCATTCATTAATTAACATATACCTACTAAAAAATTAAAACTACCTCATCCTTTTAAAGAGTGTGCTTTGAAAAAAAAAACCTACCTCAACATTTGAAAGAACGCTATATAAAAATAATCTTAATTTATTTCACTTCGTTTGATATATGCGTATTACGGGAAAAAAACACACTTGTCCAGTCTATGCTATATGTACGTATAGTTTGGATGGTGAAGTTTAAAACGTGGATCAATAAAAGCTTCTTCGGAAACTCTCTAAAGTTTAAAAGGATTTAAAGTTCATCCGAGTCAGTAGTTAGTGACGTCACTTATCGTTTCCGTAACATAAATGCCAATTCAACGCTGGAGTTATGCTGGTGTAGTTGGCCTTGTCTGAGTTGCCGGTTCGTTTATTTGTTCTGTGGATTGAGTTATTCGTATTAATGTTATTCCTGGTTGTTTTGTTGGGGATTCTTTTGTTTTTTTTATTGATTAATTCATATGTTTTATATGACTCGATATCTGGTGCGTATTCATTACGGTTATTATTTATTTGTGACAAAGGACTTTACTCTGACTTTTTCACGTATTTTTCTTTAGCTACATCCTAGGAGAAATACAATCTAAAGAACATTATAATCACATACAAGTAAATGTAGGTATTTAAAGATACGTTTTGTTGCATGTTTACTGTTGTCTGTCTGCATGCAAATCAAAGCATCCATCTCTGTACCAATGTCACTACATTTTACTGTTTCATTTATGTAAACATACATGTGATGAAATATATATATGAACAACAGGAAAGAGCCGGCGGAAAATGTAAATTCATCTTTGTGATTTTTTTTTTTTTTTTTTGACGATATGTATATATATTGTTGTTTATTTAATTTATGTTATTATTTACTTCTCATCTATTCCTTTATACTAATCATGTGGGGTCAGCTACGTCAGCAAGTAATGCCTGATAATTATTTCATGCAAAGAAGAAAATTGATTATAAAAAACAACGGAAGTGTTGTATCTCTGGTTCATATATGTATGCACGTGCACATACACATACTCACACACATATATAAATATACATGTAATATGTGTACATTAAACGATTTTTATAACAGAGCTTCATGGATGTTTCACATAGTATTAAAATTTCCATATGAATAATCTTGAGGCATTAGTGTTTCATTTAATATCAAAATTGTATTGCTTTCCTCGCATTCAGTTTAGAATACCTTTGGAAACACTCTTGGGTAAATATCCTATTTCAGTCAGTGCCATACTACGAATTAATTACTAGCTTGGTCACTGACAGTATCGTATTGTTTTGTTGTTTCTGTACATTACCTTCAGTGAAAGAAACAAATGAATAGATTATACTGGTGCTGTTATTATTATGTATTATATATTACTATTATTATTATTATCATTATTGTTGTTATTATTATTATTATCCTCATCAATATTAATATTATTATCATTATTATTACTACTACTATTACAACTACTACTATATATACATATATATATATATACATAAGCATAAATATATGTATATATATATTTATTTATTTATTTATTTATTTATATCTATATATATATACATATACATTTATGTATGTATATGTATATATGTGTGTATATATATATGAACGTATGTGTATAGTATTTATATATGTATATATACATACATACATACATATGTATATATATATATATACAAATACATATACATAAACACACACACACACACGCACATATTATGTATATGTGTGTGTGTGTGTGTGTGTGTGTGTGTGTGTGTGTGTGTGCGTCCGTGCGTGAGTGTATGTGTCTGTGTGTGTCTGTATGTATATGTGTGTGTACAAGTATATATATATATGTGTGTGTGTGTGTGTGTGTACATATATATATACCTTTTTATACATATATATAAACATGCATGCATATATGTATACATTTCTATATACAGTATATATAGGCTACTGTATACATAGATATTATATATATATATACATATACATTTATATATACTGTATACATATATGAATATATATATACAAAATTATGTGTGTGTGTGTATGAATGTGTAATTGTGTGACTCTGGGTGTAGAGATGCATGTATGTACGTACGCCATCCTAGAAAATAATCTAAAACCTTTATAATAAAATAAAGCTTAATATACCGACTTTCGAAACAGGAGACATATTCTTAACATTAAGATACTACAGTTTTCTTAAAGAACATAAATATTTTAGAGAGACTGAGTTCTGAAGAAAAATAATTGTTGCTTAATTTGTTTTAATATTTTTATTTTTTATTTTTTTAATGTCTGTTTCCTTTTATTCTTGTATTTGTTGTTATTTTTACTGTCCTATTTATTACCATTCTTGTTAATATTGTCTGGGGGACACGTTATTCATCTGCCTGCAATGATCATGATGTTGAAATTGATGATGATATTGATAATGGCACTGATGTATTAATGAAGATGATGATCAGAAAGAGGGGGATGGTAATGCTGATGATGTAATGATGAGGATAATGATGATGATGATATGATGAACAGGATGATGATAATGACAATGATGATGATGATTTAATGATTATCGTAAATTATGGTATTATGTCAATGTTTTCTGGATTTACGCACCCACATATATGTTTGTATATATATGTGTGTGTGTGTCTATGTGTATATATATGCATACGAGTGTACATATGTGTATATATATATGTATGTGTGTGTGTGTGTGTGTGTGTAGAAAGATAGATATAGATATTGAAATTATCGTCAATATATTACGACTAGTTCATCTTGTTGAACAGCTCATTCGTTGCAATGGTGTTGATTAAATATAAGCAAAGTAGAAACCCTTTTTCGCTATATCATGTAACAGAATGAAATATCTATTCCTTTCTCGAGGCTATTCTTATCAGCTGGGCCAATATATGTATGTATGTATCTATCAAGCTATACATATATACATGTGTATATATGGATAGATTGATACATACACACATATACACAAACACACACACACACACACACACACACACACACACACACACACACATATATATATATATATATATATATATATATATAATGTGCACAGTTTGGAATGTATATTTTCGTTGTACAACGTAAAACGTAACCTGAGTAGGAACGAGGAGTGTGGAAATTTCTCCATGTCTGGGGGATTCCGAAAAAGGTTATGTGACACTGACCATCATTTTCTCTTTAAAGAGTACTAATAAAATATCAACTAATGGATTATATGACAGGAAACTGTCTAAATACTGCAGTCAGGGGTTAAAAATAAAAGTTAATCATACTTCTGTTTATTAGGTCATCAGTGACTACCCTGATTCAAAGAACTTTGAAACAATTAAATCTATTGACAAAATCCATTGGTACACACGCCGCCACTCCTGCATGCGGAACCCTTGGCAGCTGGACGTCCTGTCGACTGGGTGTAGGTCCAGATGCTGTAGCCATCCTTCACCTGCCACTGGCATACGAGCTGGACACAGAGTCTTCAGACACGGATTTGGACGCAAAGGCTTCCGACTTGCCAGTTTGCTTTTGGCACTGTTCGTCCATGGAGACCATTTCACCTGGCAGCTGGGAAGACAGAGGAATTTTCTCTCCCACTTGGGTGGTCTGAAGGCAGGCAGCGTCGCCACTGCTCATATAGTCCTTCATCAGTTTCTGTGAACATGACGAAAAGAACAGCTTGTTGGGTTTACCTGAAACGTAGCTCATTATGTAGCCGTCGTCCCACGAACAAGCTTCTGCTCCATCTTTGCCGTCATGAGGAGAGCCAAGATTGTGTGCTACTTCATGGGCGGCAGTCATCACGCCCACATAGTAAGCGCCCATATCCTCACCCATGCCAGTGTTGAAAGAGCGTTTGTTAGCGCTGGCCACAACACATGCGGCTCCTTTCCAGGCAATGCCAGCTAAGCCCTTCTGAATCATGCCAGATTCCACATCAGCCATGTCCTTGCCTGTCATTAGGTAGGCCACATCATAAGCAGGTAATGAAGCTTTCTTCTGGAACAGCCAATCGCTTACAGAGCTAAGGGTATTCTCTCCATGGATATAGTTTTCCAGAAGGACATTATCATTTATGTAAGTCTCGTCAGCTGAGTCACGGACAATGAGTAGCAAACTTGTTGTTGACTCCGTTCCAGACAGGTACTGTTTCACCTTTGTTGGAGCCCAATTGTTGAGCGAGGGTGCTGTCAACTATCACGTAGAGCTCAGCTGTGACACTAAGGGCACCTCGGCTACTTTGAGAGTTTTTAGGCTGTGCTTGATGCTGACGGACTTCGGCGGGAATTTCCAGGTAGTCGTTGTAAGCGCCGGCTTCAGCTTCGTACTGTCGCTGTGCCTGGTGAGTTCCGTCAGCGTTTGCCAGATCGGGAACCGCCGAGTCATGTGGTGCGTCTTCAATCAACACTCGTCATTGACTGTCGCGTGTGGTTGTCTGCAGCTTGAATTCCGCCGCCAGGGGCGAGGGGGCACGGTGTAGGCGAAGCTTATGCTCCTCGTTAAAGGCCTTTACAGTGAGCTTTAGGGGCGAGAGAGAAGATCGGCTTCCGCTCACACGGACAGTGGCTGGCGCTCGCTCCACTGAGGAGCTTCGAAGCACCGAGGCATGGCCGAAGGCAGCCAAGACCGAGATCAGGATGAATGCAGTCTTCATGCTGATCCAGATGCGAATGTCGCCAACAGGATTCCTGACCTTTTTATACGGCTGGGGTACACTTGAACAAACAGTTTAACATTTTCATCGAAAACCTTTTTTTTTTTTTTTTTTTTTTTTTTTTTTTTCGATGAAAAGTTCCATGTAATAGGAGAGCAAATACATAATCAAATGTAGGGAGATTTGGAAAGTAGATTTTTTTTTTTTATATCCAAATATTACTAGATACATGTATGTATATATATGTATTTATACATACACACAAATATATATACATATATATATATATATATATATATATATATATGTGTGTGTATCTATATGTATGCGTGTACATATGAATACCATTACATATTTGTGTGTATGTTTGTATGCTAACTTCCTCTTTTAGCATTTTTTTCCTTAACACTGAAGTGCATAATTGCTGTTACGTATAGTGGCTACAAAACAGTACATGAAAAAGTATGAGAATGTAGAACTGAGTACAATGAAGCACAGACAAAAAAATATATATATATTTATGTTGTGAATGATATCAAAAGAGGACTATAACAAATCGCAGAACAAATAAGACCATACAACACAAATGATTTTACTATTATATGTATGTATGTATATATATATGATAATATATATATCCATTTATATATTACCTTCACAATATTCATATATATATTCATATTGACGATAAGTAGTTCGTTGTTCTTTTCAAGTGTTTTATTTTTCTAGTACAAAGCTATCATCGTCATCATTATTACCTATAACCATTATATTTTTTTTTCTTCATTATCATTATGATTATTGTTTCAGTTATTTCTATTACCATTTCTATAATTTTCATCAAATCTATTAAAATTATCACCTTTGTTGATATCTGATTACCCGTCATTATTATAGTTATAACCCAAATATTATCATAGTATTATGTATATCACTGTTATTTTCGTGATGAGGAAAGTATTGATGAAAACGATTATTATAATCAGTTTTATTACCGTTATCAGTACTAGTGCCCCTTCAGACCATCCTTTGAATTATCATCAATTATATTAAGCATTACAATCATCAGCACTATCATTACAAAAATCTTATAACTATTAAGGTTACTACAACTGGCGATACTATTTCTTTACCATTAGTAGTAGCAATACTGATTGGCTATGGTTATTATCAGTATCACCGTCTATTCCATAACTATTCAATCACATTTTTCATTATTATGCTTCGTCATTATCTCTATGGTAACTGTAATTGTAGTTATTGATGGTTGTGGTTGCAGTTGTAAACCTAGAAATCCATATAGTTATTATCACTGTTATATTTTTTTATATGCTGCTTAGTTTCTGAAAAGTGATTATTAACCCTTTCCCTGTCACCCCTCCAGAGGCGAACATTTTTCTAGCTGTCACAGGTCTTTGCTATATATTTATTTTTTAATTGTAGAATTTACGTTAATTTGAGTAGCCAGATTTACTAAGGAAGGGTTAGAGAATGCGCTAGAATAAAAATATTTTAGATATATTTTCATTATTCGTTCTTATGAGGATATAAATATTGGAATTACTCGTGTGTCAGGCAGGGGGCGGCCGGCAGCGAGTAAGCATAATCTTGGGCTCGAAGACTGCGATGGCAAGGTGTGAATCCCCAGCCCAACAGACATATCTCGGCCTATCAATCATCCGATACGGTCGCATGATCTGATCCGGTACTTCTGTCAAAGGAACTTCCTATACATATACATATATATACATATGCATATACATACATACATATATATATATAATATATACATTTACATCTATGGATATATATATATATATATATATATATATATATATATATATATATATATATGCATGCATGCATGCATTCATACATACATACATACGTACATACATACATACATACATATATATATATATATATATATGGTAGACATATATATATATATATATATATTCTATACAGCAGTCTTATTTTCTACACCACTACATATCTACATCTAGAACACAACTTTTTCATGGTACACTTCAAAGCACCCCAAAATACAAATACAAACACACACACACACACACACACAGAATCCATAGTGATCATATAATACTGTCCTGTACTGCCGTCACCTCACAAGGTCACCTTAGGTCATGCGCATATACTTACATATACTTACACACACACACACACATATATATATACATATATATATACATATATATATATATATATATATATACACATATACATATATATACACATACATACATACACACACATATATATAAATATATCTGCATATATATATATATATATATATATATATATATATATATACATATATATACACATACATACATACACACACGCATATATATAAATATATATGCATATATATATATATATATATATATATATATATATATACATACATATACATATATATACACATACATACATACACACATACACACACATATAGTGCATGTGAATAAGTTTTCCTCAAAAGTAAACACGGCATTTTTTTGTCGGTAGATCACAGACCTGAGGCGATTATCACGTGTGAATTTGACTGACAGCCCAGATAAGTAAATGGAGTAGAGATGTGAAGGCCGAGACTAGGGGAGTTGTTGTACAGCATTTGTTGCATAACATTTTGTTGAATATCTCGATATCAAATGAAATTTTGATCATGAGATAGGTCTTGCATATTAGAATTGAACATTGTCTATGTGGCTATACCATCGCAGCAAGCTTATAACTTGCCATAACTGCATAATAAGCCATGGAAGTTTCGATGGTATATATACAATCGAAACAGTTTAGCGGCGAAAAAGTTTGATGGTATATATACCATCGCGTCAGAGAAAGGGTTAAAAATAAGAGTGGTATCATTTGATAATGTCATCTGTCTTATCTAAATATTTACACCATTCTTTAGAAAAATATCATTGTTAGTGCCCATCATCATTATTGCTAGTTTGAATTGTAATATTAGTATTCCTTATTATTTTTGGTCTATCTTATTGTCTTTACCGACCTCATTTTCTTACAGATTTTCCTTCGGTCTCCATCTCTATCTCACTTACGATCTCTCTATTTTTCTATCGCTTTCTCTTGCCTCCCCGCCCTCCCTCCCCCTTTCTCTCTCTCTCTCTCTCATTCCATTCTAGCCTTTCGATTCCGTCTTCCTCTCCATTCTGCCCTTCTCTTTTTTCTGCTCTACCATTGTCTACTCCCCCTTCAAAGAAGCGTACGAGAGTCAGACACAAAACACTAGAAAGCCGAAGGAAAATGCACCCACGTGCATATCTTCTAAACAGTGCTGCTTTATAACCAATACATAAAAGGACTCACTCATGCGATAAACGACCAGTCGATGAGGCGAAACTCACCGAGTCGGAGGCTGTCTTTTGTAGATGGAGATGCTCTGCACTTTGTTCTCTTGAGACTGTACTCCTAGCCACTTTCTCCGACTCGCCAAGAAAGGGTTATCTTGCCAAGCATTGCACTGATCTCGAGAGATTTTTTCTCGTTTCATGGATGTGAGCTGGTATATGATAAGTATACATGTATATATATATACGTACACACAAACACACAGACATACATACATATACAAACAGAGGTGTGTACATATATGTGTTTATGCGTAGAAAGCAAAACATATATTATCGTCAACACATCACGGCTAGTTCATCTTGCTGAATAGCAGTCATTTAGAAAGAAAAAGGGTGATTAAAAATAAGCAAAGCAGAAACCCAAGAACTCCTTCCTTTTCGTTGTTTCATGTAACAAAATGAAGTACCTATTCTGTTTATTCAGTACACTAATCTTTCGCGAGGACATAATTATGAACCGATATATACGTCTATCAGTCTATCTATCCATACCTATACGTATATATACATATGAATATATATGTATATGTGTTTATCTGTCGTTCTATGTGTATATTTACCTATCTATATGTGTCTCTATACCTATGTTGATGTCTCTCTTTCTATATACGTCTCATTCTTTCTCTTTCCCTCTCCTTGGATGTACATATGTATATAGACTCACACGAACTGTGTTGATTATCTAAACGCATACATACATACATATATATATATATATACATATATATACATACATGTACATATATATACATATATATATATATATATATATATATATATATATATATTCACAGTCTGGAATACATCGCAAGATGTATCTAAGCATGGACGAGGAATGTTGAAATTTTACCATGTAGGGGAGAAGGGATTTCGAAAAAGGTTATGATGACATTTATTGTTTTTTTTTTGTTTTTGTTTTAGCTGTTCTTTAAATAGCTTATAATAAATAGTATATCACAAGTTATAGTAATATACTATATGACAGCAAGCTTTCTAAATACTGCAGTCTAGGGTTGAAAACTAAACATTAATCATGCTGCTTGTATTTATTAAGTCGTCAGTAACTAGCTTAAATCATAGGAATAGGAATACATCTATTGACAGGATCCATTGGTACACACGCCACCACTCCTGCATGCGGAACCCTCGGCAGCCGGACGTCCTGTCGACTGGGTGTAGGTCCAGATGCTGTAGCCATCCTTCACCTGCCACTGGCATACGAGCTGGACACACAGAGAGTCTTCAGACACGGATTTGGACGCAAAGGCTTCCGACTTGCCAGTTTGCTTTTGGCATTGTTCGTCCATGGAGACCATTTCACCTGGCAGCTGGGAAGA